CGATGACGATGATGACGATGATGCTGATGATGGTGATGGTGGTGGGGTTGGGGGGGGCCTTTCGCGTGAAAAATCACGTGATGTCCTTGAGCAGCCCCCGGAATACTTGCTAAAGCAAGAAGACTCCAGCTAGCTGACGCTAGCTTTCGTGAAAAAAGAAATCGCTTTATGCAAACATGCAAAGCGAAGAAATCCCTGGGAGGCCAGTGCCGTATGATGAGAAGAGGTCACAAACTGTTTCACGAATAGGATTTACCAGTTCATGCATTGTGACAATCCCCAATATATTGGATAGTATCACAGTATCACCCCAAACTCATCAGCAATAAACAGGAGTGTCGAACGCAGTCACTGGGCAAACATGGCAAGCTCCACTTTTCACCATGCCATAGCCACTGACCGGCAGATATTTGGTCACGACGCCCGAGAGCCTGGCTCAGAAAACAACCCTGTGGTGCCATCATGGTAAATCCGTGAACGAAATGGTGAAAAAATGCGATAAAATCACCGGTATTTTTTTAGAGATTTTCCGTATAGAAACAAATTAAAACCATGGGATGATTGGTTCAAGGCACCCGGGTGCCCCGGCGCGTCTTGCTCTTGCCAGCATCTACTCGGTGTTTGTGCGACCCTTGCCCTATCTTGCCCTACACATACATCATTGCAGTGTATCCATATATTGGCATCAAAGGAGAAATCATGATTTAAAAAAAAATGCAAGCGTACAAATAATGATGAAATTGTGACAAAATGTGGAAAACAACAAGTGATAAAACGTTTAAAAAAACAATGATATAACGGTGATAAAACGGTACGAAACGTACGGCCTTGCCTCTCTTGCTTCAAGTCCAGCGCGGACTTCACGGGCAACCTGCCATAGTCCACCCTTGAATCAAAAACTCTGGGGGGAATAAGAGATTCTTCTGGAATAAAAAAATCCATATGGATTGGGTTTATTATTCCAGGAATTCTTCTCTTTGTCAGGAGTTTCTTCTTCTCGAGATTCTGAAGGGTTTCTTCCAGGGAATCCCCCAATCCCCAATGTAACAACCATGCCAGCAGCCACTGAAGGTGAGCTAGTGTGCCAAAGCCTTCTTCTGGTGGCCTGATTTTATGCCATCAAGAACTACCATGACTGGTGATAAGTTATACCGTTATACCACCCATAAATAGTTGTGATGATTTGGGGATGGTGCATTATTGGCTTTACCAAATTATCTGAAGAAAATCACATAATTCTGAGAGCAGGATTCCCCTTTCGGATTCCCCTTTCGGAGAAAACAGTTTTTGGGCACCCCACTCTCCATCTTCTGGACCTGCTCGAGTGCAGATCACAGGAATCTCTGTTTTCGAAACATGGATGACGTGATGACGTGATGGCCTTGGCATCCCAATCTGCATCGTTCTGAGGCTACTGAATTCACTGAATCACCAAAATCCAAACACTTTGTATCAGCATTCCTTTTCCCAACATTGCACTAGTTTGAGACTCCCTTACGACTGTATATGGAAATGACAATAGACAAAGACATGAGTTTCTATGTTTGGTTTACCGCACAGCTCCCAGTTTTCCAACCTTTCCGGTAGCCACCTCGGCGTGGCGTTACCATATCGTCACTGAATTCGAAAAGACTGTAGACATAGAAATGGAGGGCCCGTGGCCGAACCTTTAGAGAAAATTGCCTCCGAAATGTGCAGCCATCCCTTTCGGCTTCACACCATCTGCAATTGCGCCTGGCCTCAGTTGTAGTTGAAATGGCTATCAGAGCACGAACGGACAAAGGCTGATTGGTGATTCCGCTGTCAATCCCTTGATGCTCAGCACAGGTTCAAACGAACAAGTTGAAGCACATTAATGTGGCAAATCCAATAGTAAACGTCCAATGTTGGAGGATTTATACCACCCATTCTTGGAGATATTCGGCGGGGTGTTTATTCTTGGTTTTACCGTTTTGACCCGTCATAACCTGAAACCTTATCCAACAATTGCCACCCTCCAACGAAAAAAATGTGGGAAGGGCACTAAGGTCGATCAAACCCTATAAGGTCCCGACGGCACTGGTCCTATCCCGTCTACCTCACACATAGCTGTTCGATCCAAATGGCACACGAATGGAAACCAAATCGATAATGGTGGCACGATTGGCTGAAATTCATTGCAACCAGAATTTTGAGATGTTTTGAGTATGTTCTGAGAACATTGGATGTTGTTTTTTATGTTTTCCAAATCAAATTGCACCACAATATCCACCAATGTGAAGGAAACCAGCAAATCCAGCAATTGAACACAAAAGAAATCATGGGCGCTCAATGAAATACAGAACATCAAAACACCAATTCGTGGTTGATGACGTGGTGACCTCGGACATGATGATGTTTTTTTCGGATGTGTTGCAAATAAAAATTCATTGAGTCAAATCTGGACATATCCAATAATTTACAAACAGAAACGGTCAAAAAAAAACAAAAAGGAAAGAGTCAAGGTCCAAAAATTAGACCGCGTGGTTTGTGACATGCACCGTTTGTTGTTTAAAATATGTTGTTTGATGTATGTGCACTGTTTCTTGATTTTCCACCATGGGTTTCATGTTTTTTATACGATCAAAAATTGAGATGTGTGAAACATTCACATTTTACATACCCAAAATATCATCATTCATGGTCCAAACTGTTCAAACCATGGAAATTCCACAGATTCAACGAGGCCAACCACGCAGTTTCGTGGAGTTTTTCAACGTTCGCCATTGATTAAAAATTCAAAGGCACCCACCATTCCCGAAAGTTCCTGCGAAGTGTTTTTTCTAAACGGTTGCCAAATTCAATTTGTCATTTCATCTACATATCATGTCCTACATTTTTTACATCACCTACATCATCTAACCATCTACATCAATTTCATCCGCATTTCACCCATCATCTACATCATTAACAGAACCCCATTTACATAACATACATAATCCTACAATGTCTACATCACTTACATCACCTACATCATCTACATCATCCACAGGTGATCAACTTTTGCAGACGTCCTACAAAATTCCGTCATTTTGTCAAAAACAAATGCGCCACCCAAGCGCTCCCTTTTGGCTGAGTTCCTTCGAGCCACTGCACGGGCATCCGTGGAAACTTCTGATTTGTGCGTGTCATCTTGACATGAAGGCAACCGTCTTTTAGTTGTAGCATGCATTTGAGTGCTACAACCAAAATGTGACACCCCACCTTGGCGAAGTTTCCTTACGAATCCTCGCCACATGGTTGGTTGTGCTTCTAAATTCACCAGTTGTTGGGCTCACTACAAAAGCCACCTGTGCTACTTGCAAACATTCTCAAATTGAGGTCCCTGGGCCTTGTTGGAAAAAAGCTTGAGGCCCAGGGGTAAAGGACGAAACCGAGTTTGGCAGGGAACTTGGCATGAAAACACAAAGGGCACAACGCAGCTGCGCAGCCTTTTCGTCAACGTGGACGAGCGGGTCTGAAGCTAGGACATGTTGGTAAGGTGAACATCCAGACCTGAGTATTGAGGTGATGTATGTTGGAAGGGACGAGGATGAAAACGTATGATCATTATTATTATTTATTTTACTTGAGAGTAAAGGCACCAAAACATGACATGTATATGACACCAAAAGTTCAAAGCAGCGGCTCACACTTTTGACCGTGGGGGTTGCGTCTCGGTTCAAGCCTCGCATCTGGACGGCAGGGTAGGCATATGTAAAGTCGTATGAATCAATCGAGGTCGATCTCTGGCAAAGGGCCCACAGTGTCCAGGGAATGTTGCAGCTGGAACTGCAAAATACACAGAAACTGGGACTCAAGTCGATTGAGTTCAAGGTCAATTTGCTGTAGGGCTCTGGAAGCAATCAATAATTGCGCAGGCAAAGGTGTCATCAAAAACAACGTGTTTTGCTGCAACTGGTGCAAAAGAGTCTGACACTGCCTGATATTGGATCGACACTCGAAGAGCTGCCGTAACGGTTGCAATATGGTTTGGAAAGACTGCAAGGAGTTCGACATGATGAGGCAGCGACAGGTCGAAAAGGAAAAATCAAATGACTGAAAATTGGCACAAAATGAGAAATCTCAAAAACGTGTTGGTCCTTCGAAACATGATTTTTTTTCCAAATCCGGCCGTTTATGCTCTGAGGCACGGTTCTTTTGAACCCGAGTCTTACTCACGGACCAGCGGGGATTCGAACCACCACCGGCAGTCTGTCAGCGACACAAGAGTGACGCCATACCAACTGAGCCATGAGGCCAACTGGTCCTTTGAAGCATGAGAAGAGACGCATGTCTCTAATGTCGCATGAGTGTGGAGTGGACACATGTCAACTTGTGAGAATTAGGTTCCACGTGGAGGTAGTGAGACACATGTCTCAAAGGTAATGGAGCTGCAGCTGAAGGCTGTGTCACTTGACAATAAGGGATTGAAATCGTAAAAGGGGTGGGACGAAAAATCGACATGACATGTGGCTCACTTGAGCTGCAACGTCACCCATCAACACTGAATCACGATGTGTTCCCAATGCAACATTGACAAAAACACTTGCCTCAACTCAACTCTTTGTGAAATAATACTTCATCAAACATGTTTGAGTTGCGTCTCATTTCACTTGAGAGTATAGGCACCAAAACATGACATGTATATGGCTCACACTTTTGACCGTGGGGGTTGCGTCTCGATTCAAGTCTCGAGTCTTGCCCTGGATTGAGGCTTGGGAGAATCACCTCATCCTTGCACAGGTTCCAATTTTGCATCAAGTCCACTCTGGATCTGGGAACACCTTGATACGATTGCATCTCTTGCCTAGAAAGCGCATCAGCGGGGTTGGAGAAACTTGGAACTCCCTCGATCCAGCACATCACATCGCTCTCTTCTTCGAAGGAGCATATCCCTCGGATGATCAAATCAAGGTTGTCGTTCTGTGACTTACATTTCACCAAACAGGCTTGAACACTCTGGTTATCAGTGAAAACCACCAGCTTGAGTCTGGAGACTTCTAATCTCGAAACGTTCTCAGGGCCGTCAAAATGGCCAGGCCTTCCAATTCCAGAATGGCAATCTTCTGGTCATGGCTCGTGAAGATGGCTGCTAAGACCTCCGGACGCACTGGTTCGCCGAAACAACCCAGGCAGGCGCCATTAAGATCCAAAAGGAGACCACCCACGCCTGAATAGCCACAGGTTCAAATGAAGCGTCCACATACATGCGGAACCAATCGAAGTGTCGAGCATCGACTGTTCTGGGCGAATTTTTCTCCAAAAGGCCCATCATCAGTCTGAGGGCTGCTTCCAACTCTAGATTGATGATTTCAGGCCCTGCGAGACGTGGGCGTTCAGTTCTTTCTCTCAAACAGTTCTCAAATCTCCTTCCAAAAAGTTGATTGGGTGCGAACTGCAATCGTCCCCGCTTCTCACCATCCACTCTGGCGAGCATGCCGGTGTCCAAGGCGGCCTGCATGATGCTCAATAGTTCCTCCACCCGGGCTTGGGTGTCGCACACATGGTATGGAAGGACCCTTGAGGCGTTTTGTGCAGGACTACAGAGGAGGCCCGCACATGCGAAGCCTGATTTCAATTGACTTCCGGCCACAGAAATGGAACCTGAAAGCGCACATGTGGTATCAGCTGGCTCCAATGTGGCGATTGCGATGCAGCACCACCCAGGCAACATTCATCAATCCTTTGTTACTCCGCGCTGCTCCGCTACTCCGTGCTATGTTTTCATTCAATCACCCAATGTAATTGACACGATATCGAAACAATGACGGAGTAAGAAAGCCTTCAATACTTCACCTTCCCACATCTTTCCCCAAGCAGATTCTTACTCCATCCCGTTTTAAATTTATACTATTAATTGATAACGGGATTGACTGACAAGATCATGATTCAAGTTCTTTCTGGGCTGAAAACTTCGGTAGGAGTCTAGAGGGGCAAGGGGGGCCAACAAGAGGCAGTAAAGTATTCAATACAATCATTCAAATGGAAGCCGGCCACCTGCGCAAAAACCCACAAACTCCGCAACAGGAAGAAACATTTCAAGCAATCACCTAAGGCTGCAAAAGGCTGATGGACCTTCTTTTACAACAAACAATCAAGCCACCAGACAAAACGAAATAATAAGAAGCTAACTTCAACTGGGTTCAAGCAGCAACCGATATGCACCCCGCTTGCCCCAACAAGAAACAAAATCATCTACAAAACAGTTTGCTCCGACGGACCCAATTCTGGGTCCGGAAAACCTTCTCAAAACCGGCTTCGCTCAAAAGGGCCTCCCTAGTTGCCCTTCCGGTCGCCATAAGCCACAAAGTTTCATTGAAACCAAAACATTGCGCTTCTGCAACCCTGATACAAAAAACTTCAAAAAATGAACCTAAACACGGTTGTATTACTAGTAGTAGTTGTAGTAGTGGTAGTAATAGTAATAGTAATAGTAATAGTAATAGTAATAGTAATAGTAGTAGTAGTAGCAGTAGTAGTAGCAGTAGTAGTAGCAGTAGTAGCAGTAGTAGCAGTAGTAGTAGTAGTAGTAGTAGCCGCCCTTTAAGCCCCCCTTCAACCCACCCCTTAAACCCCCCCGTAAGCTATCCTTGAAGCCCACCCTTAAGCACTTCCCTAAGCCCCCCTTAAGCCCCCCTTAAGCCTGCCCCTTAAGCACCCCCCTTAAGCCTCCCCCTTAAGCCCCCCTTGAAGCCCTCCCCTTAAGCCTCCCCTTGACAAACCTCCCCTTAGCCTCCCTTGAAGCCCCCATAAGCCCCCCCCTTTGAAGCCCCCCCCTTAAGCCCCCCTTAAGCTTCCCCTTGAAGCTCCCCTTAAGCTCCCCCTCAAGCCCCCCGTTAAACCTACTTGAAGCCCCTCCTTAAGCCGCCCCTTGGAGCTTCCCCTTGAAGCCCCCCTTAAGCTTCCCCTTGAAGCCCCCCCTTAAGCCTCTCCTTAAGCCCTTCTTTGAAGCTCCCCTTAAGCCGCCCCTTAACGCCGCACTCTCCGAAGCAAGACCGATTCAGCCTGGTGAGCAGCTTTAGGCTGCATCAATTTCAGGTACCAAAAACGAACTACTGTAGCCCCTTGTACCTTTTTTCCGTCCAACGCCATCATGGCTTTCGCTAGGTCGTTCAACATGTTTTATTGCATGTTGCAAATTGGGATTAATTGATTAATTATGGCATACGTAGGCCGTCTGCGGTTGAGTGGCCTCAAAAGTGAACTGGTGAAGGACCAATACGTAGTCCTGTGTACTGTCACAATGTCATCACCAAAGCGCAAAACGAAACAAAAAACCAAAACACCAAAAACAAACAAAACACAGAAACACAAAAACACAAAAACACAAACCAAACAAACCAAAAAACAACCCACACAAACAAAACAGCAACGTGACAGGTGGAAAGGGTTACTGTAGCCCCTTGTACCTGCTTGTCTTGGTCATGACAATCTTTTCCTTGCTGTTTCTCTTGATGAAAGAGGCCCGTGGTTCCAAAGCCTGCAATCAAGACGCTTCGAGGCTCGGCGCGTTTTTGTGTTTTTTTTTGGATCTTATTTTAACCTGACGAAAATCTTGAATCTGCAAACATTGGAAATTTAAAAAATAATTGTTTTGTATTTTTTTGAAGACACGCCTCGACAGCGGAAGGTGAAGCACGGTATCGCAGGGTTCTGGGACAGCTGGTGTGGGCCGCATTGTCCAGAGCTGATTTGTGTTTTTCAGTTTCATACCTTGCGCGATTCCAGTCGAAGCCATCAGGTGCAGCGGAAGCTGGTTTGCGTGCACTGTTGCGTTGGTTCTAACGCGCCTTCACCGCGTGCAAATCATTTTTTTTTCCGTCCAACGCCTTCATGGCTTCCGCCAGGTCGTTCAACATGTTTCAGAGCATGTTGCAATTGGGATTAATGAATTAATTAAGTCACGCAAAGGCCGTTGCTGTAGTGGCCGCAAAAGTAAACTGGTGGAGGACCGATACATAGTCCTATGCACTGTCACGTTCATCCAGAAAACCAAGCAGAACACCAAGAAACAAAGAAACAAAAACCAAAAACAGAACCAAACACAAACAGAACACAAACACACAAAAACAAAAGCAAACAAACCAAACAAAAAACAACACAAACCACCGAGCAGTGACGTGACAAGTTCCAGTTTATGGGTGAAAAAGATCGATTGACTCAAGAGGTGATAGCTTAGTATCATCTCGTTGCATGCATAATGACATCTTGTGTGCCATGATGACGCAGGCCCTCAACAAATAACAAAAAGCAAGAAACGCCACAAGAACACCAGGGGCCAATTCAGAGGGTGTGGGAAGCAACAAAGCTCAATGCGGAAACCAGGGATCCCCCCAGCCAGGATCCCCGAGATCACAAAGAGCAGCCTTCACGGCATGACATTCACCCTGACACTTTGAAGCAAACACCGACAACGCCGGGTCGCAACGAAAGTGGTGAGAAACACTAACGCAGTGAAACTGGAGAGTGAAACATGATCTAATGTGAAAATGACGGCAATGGCAACGGCACTCAGGGCACCCTCAGAGTCCGCTCAGTTGTTCTTTTTCTAGCATCAGCATCAGCAGGATTGCGGTTTGCGGGGAGTGTCACTTCACTAGTGCTCCTGCAAGTTGTCTTCATGGTATGGGAGATTGTGCTCGTCATCAGTGCGTGGTGATATCTGTGCATTGAGTTCTTCCGATGACGTGCTGGCTCCTTTGGCTGTATGATCAAGAAGCAGTATGGCTTTCTGCGCTTGGGTTACTTCGTAACTGGCAGATATTGTACAACTATCCAATATACAGCCAATCTGGCGGAGTTGGCGTATGGCCGCTTCAAGGTCAGTGACCCTCTGGGATGGGATGTTTTGTATGCCTTGAAGCTTCTGGCATGCCTTCTCCAGAAGTTTGGTGGCATCATCGACTTCACTGGTAGTGACCTGGCATAGGGTCAGTTGAGTAATGGACTTTGCAAGGCGATGTACAGCGGCATCTTTCATAGGAGTCGGTCGTTCCATACCTCTAGGCGAAGCTGTACACAGGGTCTTCAGTAGACGTAGGGCCGCTGGGCGTCTAGTTCATCACTCACAGTGTTGCAACCTTTGTTGAGGAAAGGCATGGGGAAGTGTGGTGAAAGTCATTTGGCCGGTCCATGTGTTGGTTGAACGAAGGTCAAACGGTGACGGGCACCATGGCTAGATGTACTTTGACATCGCGCTACACTACCATACAACAAGTTAGGTTAAACAAAACAAACAAACTCCCTTAAAAAGGTTATTATAACCACCCCCCACCGCCTCCCTTTCCATACTGACCCAGGCATGCTTACTACAACAGTAGCTACAGTGGATAGTGGTCAACCATGGGTACCCCATGGTGACAGAACTTCAGAACCACGGTCTTAAAAGGCTAATATCATGCCAACCGTGGGTGCCCCACGTTAGCTCTAGTAGCTTACTGAAACTGCACGGACTGACCGGTGTAGGATTCATCACGGCTACCGGAGCTACTGAATGCGGCATTTGCAGGGGGCGGGTCACTGATTTCGGCTTGTTTCATCATTTGGGCAATTAGTGGATGGCTTTGTTTTTCGCGCAGGATCCTGGTCATTTCCCGAGTGAAGGCTGCAGGGTCATCAACTAGTGCTTTCGCTTCCGCTAGTGGCCTGTCAAGGACAATGGCGATGTGGTGGGGCCTTGAGAGCTGCTGATGTCCCTAACGCACGTAGGAAGGGGCTGTCAGGTGGCGTGGGAGATGGGAGATGCTGGATAGCCGCTACTGCACGCAAAACGTCATTTGTTTTGATTTCATACGAAGGGGACGTTTTCTTGCCTATGGCAGGCTCGGAATCAGCCCATAGTTGCTGCAGTGTGTAGCCTGGTTTCGGCTCCATGTACCGTCTGTTCCAGACTGCATGGTGAGACCATTGAGGTGCGTCATGGTTGATTTCAACTGAGTCTCTTTTCATGTCATATTCTTTGAGCATGTCGTCTAATTCTTGCAGGCTCGCGGCTCGATGAATGCAACATTGCCTGACAGCTCCATCAATGTGCAGCGGCCATCCTACGGGCATGTGGGAGTCTTCCAGGAGTCCATCACCATTTTGCTCTATGATTGTGCCTAGCATAGGGACATCAATGGTTGCCTTGAGGCTAACCTGTGCACGTTTGCACTTCCACGTGTCAGGTGCTAAAAGGCCTCTGGCAGCCAACAGTTCAAGCGATGGGAACTCTGGTTGGTCATTCGTCGGCAGCACCTCTTCCTTAATCACTAACTTCAGCCCGTGCAGTGGCTGGGGCTGCTGCCCTTGAGGGTCTTGGTTGGGTTGGGGTGTGGTATCCTTGGGTGCTGTGTCTTCAAACCAGGTGGGGCGGACCGACTGAGGGTACGCCAGGAGTGCTTCCCTTTGAGGTCTACTCACAGGCTCCCCTCCGCCTGATCTCATGGTGCAGCTTCG